TATGGTGGTCATTTTTGACCATGACAAGCCCAAGAGACCTTTTTTGCTTTTTAGACTTTTCAAATCATGTCCACAATTTTTTGTTGGTTCTCCAGGGTTATTGTAGCTGAAACTACAACTTATTTTATTTACTTGAAATAAATTAAAAGTTAACTGAAATAAAATTGCTAATGCAGCACTTGTCATTTTAATTTAGCTTGACTTGATGTACTCAAATAACAAAAAGAAAAATAAACAAAATTACTAAAAAAATATATTTCTATTACTGATTTTTTTTTATTACCAATTTTTAAATAAAAAAATTTAAATGACTAAAAATATAAAAACTGATTCAAAATATTAATGAAAACTATAATAATATCTCAATGATAGTAAAATAACACTGGTATTCACATAGTTTCGTACCATTCCAATGACCAATGAATAAAGCGATGTAAAAACTTCAAAACATAAAATTTTTCGGTTTAAAATGACTGAATAGTGCCAGAAAGTCAAAGGAATTTAAATTCGGAATGTTATAAAAACTGTGACTATGTTTTTTTTTTTTTATGTACCTGGATGAGGAAGAGTTTGCTCTTGTCTGCCATTGACGGGCCTCCAAAGTAACTGTAGATCTCTGCCAGTTTCACAGCACGTCCATCAGCGCCAAACACAACACCCTCCTCACCGTGACTGGATATGACGCCCACAAAACAGTCTTTGACCGTCTTCTTGCTCTCTGAGGATGAAGGACAGTGTTAGTGAGTATTCTGAATGCGCTGCACAAGTTTCATTTCTGTCATTACTATTAAAATTTAGGCTATTGTGATTATCTGCAGTCATAACTGTCTGCAGTTTTGCATAATGGCAAAATCTCTTCCATGCAAACTCATGGTCTCATCTCATCAAGATGTGCTCACATTACCTGCTTTAAATGCTTCACAGATCTCATTAGCGTCAATGTCCATTCTGATGTCCACAGAGAAGCCGAGCTTGGTGAGGATTTTGTGAAGTCTTCTAGAGTCTCTCTTCACACCGTTCCTCTTGTTCAGATCTGCACCTGAATAGAAGTTCTCCACAGACACTATCAACGCCCTGTACTTCATTCTCTTGTCAGCTGTGAAAGGAAATTTACAAAAAGACATGATTTTCTCTTCTGTCAAACTCTGAATTTCAATGTAATCGAAATGTATCTGAATAAGCTGCATGAGTTTGTTAAGGCGTCTGCCTGCATATATACTAGTCCAGCCCTAAGTTACTTGCCATTTATAGAGAATGTCGCTCTTAGGCAATACCTTTGTGTCATCACCTTTGTGATTATACAACTCAAATAACTTCAATGTCTGCTAACCTAAAAGGGAATAAACCTTTCAGGTGCTTGTTAGCTATTTACTCTTGAATTTCAATTGAAATCAATAATAGAAACTGTTGGGAAGATCCAGTTAATGTTTACTATTATGATGATTATTTTTTTTTTTTATTATTAATCTCTGTTTATCACGCTGTAAAAAAATGAGTTTTCAAAGAAAATAAAGATTATTGGAGTCTGTTTTACGAGAAAATACAATTTCAGTCTTTCTGCTTAAAAACTTTGTTTAATTCAATGTTAGATGCCTTTTCTTTTGTAGTTGTTTGTGAAAATGACTAGCAATTTCTAGGTGAACTTTGTTTCGTAAATCCTACGCCAATTTGTTTTGTGTAACATCTTGGCAAGAAACAGGCTATTGAGTTATTTTAACATATTGACCAAACTAAGTTGCAACATTTTATGTGGTAAATTGTCACAATGGGAACTTGCGTTAAATAGTCAATTATGTGGGTTTTCGACAAATTTAAAAAAACTTCTGAAGCACTTTTATGTTCTTTTGTTTTTGACAAACTTGGAGTATGCAGTTACTACATATAAAACTCAAGTGACAGTTTAGCCAAGTTAAGTGTGACTGAAAAACTGGAACCGATATTACAAAAATGTAATATTTGTGTCAAAATCACTTCTGACTTGAAAGCTTATAGTTACAGCCCTTGTGTCTGACGACTAGTGCCGGTCTCATTTTTATTTTAATTGAGCATAAATAAATTTGTTTTAAATTATTTTTAATATTATATTCAGTTCAATTGAAAGACATAATGGAGTTCGCAGTTAGAATATACTGGATACGTGTGGTTTGGTGGCATGCATATTTTCAGAGCAATTTTCCTTTTGACAAAATTTCACACTGTATTCCCCTGGTCTCAGACTTCCTCACTCTTATCTATCTGTCTACCCAAATCTTTCCTGGTATATAAGAATATAATTCCCACTGTCAGGGTTCATTTAGCTTTAAAGTTGCTCTAAATAATGCTCTAAATTTATCAAAAATTAACATACTAAAATAACAAAGCATTGTTTTGGCCAACAGATATTATAATGAATAAAAGTATCAAACTGTTTGAAATCAACCAAAGTCAGAAAATTAAATTAGTATTTATGGTAGTCACAAGTTCAAAGGTGGAATCATAGCTCCAGAGAAATATTCCGATTGCACTTTTTTTAAAAGAATGTCTGTACTTATATGTCTGTCTACCTAAGTAACACCCAAGTGTTTCCTGCACGAGTTTAATTCTTGATTCTTCTACCATAGATAGTATTCAAATACTTCATTTACTCGTCTTTATTAAGTTACTCAAAATAATGTTCAGAGGCAATTACTCCATCTTTATTCATGTTTGCTCTCATAAACGTGTGAAAGTAAATTTAGTTACGACTAAAAACAGATTTACACACGCACACATAAAGAAGAAAGTATGGTTAAAATATTTAGTGTATATTGATGGCAATACTTTGAACTTGTACATCAAGAAATAAATGATCTTTTGTTACAATGAATGCTATCAATTCTTGTGTCATTCAAGACCAAAAATCCCTACAGAATTAAGTGTTATGTATAATTTATCAGAAATCCCACTTATATTTGTGTTTTGTTACAAAAATCGACTTCATTCATCTACCATGTTTATCGTGTTTGTTATTTTCATATCACGTGAGTGAAATGTACACTGTAAAAAAAATTCCGTAAAATTTACGGTAAAAAAACGGCAGCTGTGGTTGCCGGAATTTTACCGTAAAAAATATGGTAGCAACGTTTTAGGATTTATGGTTTTAACTTAAATTTACAGTTAAATACCGTAATTTCATAAACTGATATGATGTTAATATAACAACCTATTGAAGTACTGAAATCTGTTTTGTACATTAGGTGTAACACACAACCCTAATATACAAAACTAATTAGAAAAAACTAAGAAGAAACAGTTATTTCAACGAAAAAAACATCAATTCCTTTTTTCACTTCCAAAAACGGTATACTATCGTAAAATTAATGTCCAATACATGTAATGTCCAATACAGTTTTTCACCGTATATAGTAGGGGAATTTACGGTTAACCATTTAACAGGTTTTTACTGTAGCATTTTTACAGTCTTTTACAGTTAAATTCATGGTAATTTTTTTACAGTGTATGCAAAATAATCTGGCAAAACACTCAAAGCAAAGCCTCAAGGATCATTAAGGACCATTATCAATGAATTTGTGATAGCCTATATTTGAATGTGTAGTCAAGTGTGCACATAACAGTAACTTCCCTTTCGAAAATAACAATGGCTTTATTATAATAAAAGTGAAGTAACCATTATTATTTTAAAATTTTTTTGCATATTGATTACAATTTGTATAACAACAGTTTAACTAAAATACCATGGTTATGGTTAGTGTAGCAAAACCATAGTTAATTTGTTACCATCAGTGTTGGGCTGTAACTAGTTACTGTAATAATATTACTTTTTGCAGTAACTAGTAGTGTAACTACTAATAAGAGTTCAGTAATAATATTACAGTTACCGTCCATAAAACAGCTAGTTACTTTTGATGCCTCAACCCCTACTGATTTGAAATCCAACAATTCCTAGATTTATTTTCATAATCTTCATGACTTGCACAGGCACATGAAGTCACCAGTGCATCAGGAAAGCTTGGAATATGGAAAAGCTTACATTGAGCGGATGGAAATATTGCCATTACACTGATTTTGTCAGGAGAGAAGGTCATCTGAACACAGATGTGTAAGTTGTGGCATTACTTTACTGTACCATTACATGGCTTGCCCACCCACATCCCTCTGATCCCAATATAAATGATATTACTATAATTAAAAATCTTATGAACTTATGTGATTTCTTTTGAGAAAATAGGCTCATGAAATATAATCATATTTGGGTAACAGATAGCAACAATTAGTTTCAAGCTATACACATGACAATTAATGCAACACTTTTACTTAAAAGTCACTATCAATCACCATTGAGTATTTGTAAAAACTTCTGACTGCGATCCAATGTAGATTTTGGACAAATGATGAGGCAGAAATATACTGTTAGTAACATTTTAGAAGAATTTTATGGGGAAGGTACACAATTACAACTTCTGCGGGGCTTGAAGGAAAAGTAATGTAACCAGTAGTGTAACACATTTCTATTGCCAGATAGTAATAAGTAAAGTAATAATATTAATTTTGAAAGGAGAAACTAACGAGTAATAAATTACATTTTTGGAGTAACAGGCCTAACACTGGTTAACATACTATTAGTTCATTTGTTTTCCATACTATTACAGCGGAATGCAAAGGGGCAAAAGAATGCAGCGACTGAAAAGAGCTTAGATATATAGATATTATACATAGATGTTATAGTATGTCACGTTAAAATACCAAGCGTCAATTTATTCACGACGTTCATGACATAAAACATGAAGGAAAATCGACAGCTCATTCAGTCAAACAGACGGATAAGCTTTATCTGTGGGCCAACCTTATGATATGAAATAATTCGTTTCAGTCTTTTTTTAATAGAACATAGACATAATAAGTCTATGTTCTAGGAATCGAAGTTCCCCAAACCGGAAGTGCCACCCTTAATTCAGTCCAGTTGTGGTCGGGTTGCAGTTTTCCCTCCCGGCCTGAGGGCGGCAGCAGCGGCAGCAGAGCGCGCAGTTCCCGAGCAGATGAATTACGTCCGAGGAGTCGCCCACTCGACTGTGTCGATAACGTGGAAGTGGGAGAATCTCACAGAGGTATTGGTTTACTTTTCAGTAAAATGTGTCATTCTTTATTGTTTTTCAGTAACTACTAATAAGAGTTCAGTAATAATATTACAGTTACCGTCCATAAAACAGCTAGTTACTTTTGATGCCTCAACCCCTACTGATTTGAAATCCAACAATTCCTAGATTTATTTTCATAATCTTCATGACTTGCACAGGCACATGAAGTCACCAGTGCATCAGGAAAGCTTGGAATATGGAAAAGCTTACATTGAGCGGATGGAAATATTGCCATTACACTGATTTTGTCAGGAGAGAAGGTCATCTGAACACAGATGTGTAAGTTGTGGCATTACTTTACTGTACCATTACATGGCTTGCCCACCCACATCCCTCTGATCCCAATATAAATGATATTACTATAATTAAAAATCTTATGAACTTATGTGATTTCTTTTGAGAAAATAGGCTCATGAAATATAATCATATTTGGGTAACAGATAGCAACAATTAGTTTCAAGCTATACACATGACAATTAATGCAACACTTTTACTTAAAAGTCACTATCAATCACCATTGAGTATTTGTAAAAACTTCTGACTGCGATCCAATGTAGATTTTGGACAAATGATGAGGCAGAAATATACTGTTAGTAACATTTTAGAAGAATTTTATGGGGAAGGTACACAATTACAACTTCTGCGGGGCTTGAAGGAAAAGTAATGTAACCAGTAGTGTAACACATTTCTATTGCCAGATAGTAATAAGTAAAGTAATAATATTAATTTTGAAAGGAGAAACTAACGAGTAATAAATTACATTTTTGGAGTAACAGGCCTAACACTGGTTAACATACTATTAGTTCATTTGTTTTCCATACTATTACAGCGGAATGCAAAGGGGAAAAAGAATGCAGCGACTGAAAAGAGCTTAGATATATAGATATTATACATAGATGTTATAGTATGTCACGTTAAAATACCAAGCGTCAATTTATTCACGACGTTCATGACATAAAACGTGAAGGAAAATCGACAGCTCATTCAGTCAAACAGACGGATAAGCTTTATCTGTGGGCCAACCTTATGATATGAAATAATTCGTTTCAGTCTTTTTTTAATAGAACATAGACATAATAAGTCTATGTTCTAGGAATCGAAGTTCCCCAAACCGGAAGTGCCACCCTTAATTCAGTCCAGTTGTGGTCGGGTTGCAGTTTTCCCTCCCGGCCTGAGGGCGGCAGCAGCGGCAGCAGAGCGCGCAGTTCCCGAGCAGATGAATTACGTCCGAGGAGTTGCCCACTCGACTGTGTCGATAACGGAAGTGGGAGAATCTCACAGAGGTATTGGTTTACTTTTCAGTAAAATGTGTCATTCTTTATTGTTTTTCATTATAATATCTGTCGTGACGGAATACGAGGCTTGAACACGCTTACAAAGACTGAATGTCAAATGAAGTTAGCTCTGGTAATGACTGAAAGTGAAACCAGTGTCTGATTCTGGTTGATGTAACTCTCATATCTGACACGTAATGAAACTCATTCATAAATAGTTGATGTTTTTGGTGTTCATTAAAGCTGTACGAATTCTGCTTACAGTAGTGTCAGTCATGTATGGGATGAAATCAAACATATCTGTGTTTTGCAAAAGTGTATGGCATTACAAAGTTAGATATATAGATATTATACATAGATGTTATAGTATGTCACGTTAAAATACCAAGCGTCAATTTATTCACGACGTTCATGACATAAAACATGAAGGAAAATCGACAGCTCATTCAGTCAAACAGACGGATAAGCTTTATCTGTGGGCCAACCTTATGATATGAAATAATTCGTTTCAGTCTTTTTTTAATAGAACATAGACATAATAAGTCTATGTTCTAGGAATCGAAGTTCCCCAAACCGGAAGTGCCACCCTTAATTCAGTCCAGTTGTGTTCGGGTTGCAGTTTTCCCTCCCGGCCTGAGGGCGGCAGCAGCGGCAGCAGAGCGCGCAGTTCCCGAGCAGATGAATTACGTCCGAGGAGTCGCCCACTCGACTGTGTCGATAACGTGGAAGTGGGAGAATCTCACAGAGGTATTGGTTTACTTTTCAGTAAAATGTGTCATTCTTTATTGTTTTTCATTATAATATCTGTCGTGACGGAATACGAGGCTTGAACACGCTTACAAAGACTGAATGTCAAATGAAGTTAGCTCTGGTAATGACTGAAAGTGAAACCAGTGTCTGATTCTGGTTGATGTAACTCATATCTGACACGTAATGAAACTCATTCATAAATAGTTGATGTTTTTGGTGTTCATTAAAGCTGTACGAATTCTGCTTACAGTAGTGTCAGTCATGTATGGGATGAAATCGAACATATCTGTGTTTTGCAAAAGTGTATGGCATTACAAAGGCCAAAGCAGAGCTGCTGTGAAGACATGCCTCCCAAGAAGAAAAATGCCATTCCTGACAGGTTAGTTTTTATAATTGTACTTATTTTATAAGGTTCATTAACTGAAGTAAAGCTTTAAGGATTGTTTGTGTCTCCTTTAGATGGACAGACTATACAGCAGTGGGTAAGCGGATCCCTGGAACTCGCTTCATCGCTTTTAAAGTTCCCTTAAAACAGGTTTGAAGACATTCACAAATCCTCCACCTGTTTGAAACGTGCATATGAGCTTAGATTTAATTCCAGTGCTTTTTTTTCAAGTCTTTCAGATATCATTTAACACAATCAGAAGCCTTTGGACCGCTTGATCTTGTGCGTATTTTAGAGAAGGAAGGACAACAACTGGGTCTCATCATTGATCTGACCTACACAACTCGCTACTACAAAGTAGAGGTAGGTATTAAAGCCTAAACAAATAGCTAATCATATTTTTTCCTCATGAAAGTGTAGACATCTCCTCCTTGCTTGACTAGGTTGGAGCTTGAGTTTTTGTCAGGGTTGAGGGACGTTGATGGACTGATTTTCTCTGAATGTGTGATTGTGTCAGGATTTGCCGAACACATTGTACCACCTGAAGATCTTCACAGCAGGGCATGAAGTGCCAAACGATGCCACGATTCTCAGCTTCAAGAAGGCCGTCAGACATTTTCTGCATGACAATGAAAACAATGGTGAGTTTTAGTTGATTAAATCAATGTGAAATCAAAAATGGCTTTCTTAATTCCCTACCGTTTGGTAAGATTTGATTAATATTCCTGATAGAAGTCTTTTAAGCTTACCAAGGCTGCATTTATTTGATTCAGTAAAACAGTCTGTAAAATAACGGTTCTCTATTTGAATATATTTAATATTCCTGTAATGCAAAGCTGAATTTTGAGCCTTCAGAAATCATTCTAATATGCTGATTTGCTGCTCATGAAACATTTATTATTATTATTATTAATGTTGAAAACAGTTGTGCTGCTTCATATTTTTATAGATTTCGGGATTCCTTGATGAATAGAAAATTCAAAAGAACAGCATTTATAAGAAATAGAAATCTTTTGTAACATTATAAATGTCACTTTTGATTAATTTAATACATCCTTGGTGGATACAATTATTCATTTCTTTTTGACCGCAAACTTTTAAACAGTAGTGTACATGTTCCTGGCTTTATAGTGAACAATTCATCAATGCATGTTATTTCAAAGAGAAATAATGCTCATCAAAATGCAAAAACTTTTTTTTTTTTTTAAATATCCCACCCTAATGTTTAATATCCTATTTCACTGAGAAATATGTCATTACAGAAGTAAATTAGGTTGCAAACATTGTTTCATGTTGAGTTCAGCCGACGTTTGTTTAACAAAAAATACTGACTTTTTTTAAACAGATAAGCTGATTGGTGTTCATTGCACGCATGGTTTGAATCGCACCGGCTATTTAATATGTCGGTGAGTAAAATTACTTTCTTTTTGCTTGTTTTCCATATTCGTGATCCATTAAATTTGTCTTTAGATGAGCTAGTGCATCCAGCAGTTGTTGTCACTGTTAAATATTGTGTCATAGATACCTAATAGATGTTGAAGGGATGAACCCGCAAAAAGCGATTAATTGTAAGTATACTCATTTGTACTCACTGTGTGTATTTGCATGCTTTTAGGTATTTTTATTTGAATGCTCTGATTTCTTCCAAGTATTCAATGAATCAAGGGGATATTCAATTGAGAGGCAGAACTATCTTGATGACCTGAGGACGGGGTGCCTTGCTCAAGGGCACCTCAGTCGTGGTATTGAAGGTGGAAGAGAGCGCTGTACATTCAGTCCCCCCCACCTACAATCCCTGCCGGTACGAGACTCGAACCCACAACCTTTGGGTTATGAGTCCAACTCTCTAACCATTAGGCCTCTAACCATTACAACGTTTTGTGATGGTTATCTGTTATTAGGTCATTTTATCCAGCAAATGTAATGCATACACATAATCTATAACTGCTGCTAATCTAACATGCCTTTAGTTTTAAATGAAGTGAAATATTAAACACCTTTGCAAGTGCAATTACAGTTGTTTTATTATCTCCTTATATTTTACACATTTTGTATTTCTTGTTTTTTTATCATTTAAAATATTCTGGCTGATGTAAGGTCTGTTATTTAGGCTACAAGTCTACTGATCAGATGTTCTCAGTGATCCGAGAGAACCCAGGTTGAGATCAGCATAATAAAAGGTTTATCTGCTCAATCGCTTGTAATTATGCAACCTTTTTTGTGATTTTAGAAGACAAGGTATTATGAAGTAGCCAATGATAAAAAACGTGCAGCAGCTGCTTCAGGTATCTGTAACCTACTGTATAACTTACCGCTATAATACTGATTGTTATTTGTTACTGAGCATTGTCACTTTGAAGCAAAAAATATAGCTATTTAATCATGGAATTATCTGCAGGCTTCCATGAACACACACACATTTAGAGCGATTATATGAACAGTTTGGTTAGCATGCATGCATGGTCTGTGGCAGACTTTTCTTTGTGTCAGGGCAACAATTCAATAAAAAAGAAATAAATATTATGTAGGGCCACACGATTTGGGGAAAATAATCTAATTGTAATTTTTCAGGTTAAAATTGCAATTTGCGATTTAAAATGCAAATTTTTTTTTTTTAAACAAATGTAGAACCCAGCATGTTTAATTAGGCCTATACTTGGCTTAAAAAAAAATAAATAAATAATAATAATGCCACTTAGCCAGTGTAACTAATATATGGATGTCTCAGGGCTACGCCCCGGTATCTACTCACCCTAGAACCGCCCCTGATTGACATTAAAAACGTACAATGATACACTGGAAATAACCATTAAATAAATATAAAAATGTTGATTTAAAAGAATATAAAACAATGTCTTACTGTGTAAAAACATAATTAAAAACAACAGCATTAATATATTACTGTAACGGTACATAAATTCGATTTGTTTCAGCATCCTGACGGAAAACACAAGCATCATAGCGAGAGAAGCGCGAAGCTCTGAAAAAATGCTTAAAAGTGCTTCGCGATTGGTCAATCTGTGGCATGACTTCACCGTCAGCTGACTGAAGTGGGCGGGGTCTTTCCATACGATGCCGGAAGTGTTATGTATTACAGTTAATGTGAACACACCGAGCTTTGTTTTCACAATGTCTAAATATGAGGAAAATATATGAGATAAATACATCAAAGCGTCTTTGAAAGCGTAAAGGAGTGCGGTGAAAGCAGGTAGGGAAGTTATTTTACCTTCATGCGAGGCTTATCTTGCTATCATTGTTTGTTGCTGGTTGGCCTGTCAATAGTGGGTGCCTCCAGACTCATTTAAAGTGAAATCAAAGTTAAAGTTTAAAGTCAAGCATCGTGAAGTGTCGACAGCTTAATTTACATATAATACATATTAATGTACCTGTCAATAGTGGGTGCCTCCAGACTCATTTAAAGTGAAATCAAAGTTAAAGTTTAAAGTCAAGCATCGTGAAGTCTCGACAGCTTATTTACATATAATACATATTAATGTAGAACTGTATGCATATATAATAATTATATACAGAGGAGGCCCCAAAATAAAGTATTTGGGCATTTTAGCAGTGTATAAAAGTCAATGAATTGGAAAACAAAATCAAACCAGTTGGCATTTGTTTGATTTATTTTTTATGAAACAATAACACCATTTATTAGCATTTACACTAACACTTGATTTCATATTTTGATGTCTAATGCAATGATTTTCAGACATTTTAAAGTGTCCAAATGCTTTTTGAAAACCCTTTTTTATAGTGTAAACTTCATTACCTTACATAGAAGTAACTCCACCCAAAGTAGGAGCTTTATTAGTCAGCGTACAAACAGTGTAAACTCAGTGCAGTATGTTGAATGTGTGTTATTGATCTGCAGGCAGGAGGCATGATGTCTGAGCACAGCGACTCCAGTCTGCCGTCTGAGGAGAGGGTCCGTGCTCTCACCAAGCTGGGCAGCTCTGTGGACGTCAGTGAGGATGTGCCGCCGCGCCGGTACTTCCGATCAGGGATGGAAATCATCCGAATGGCCAGCATCTATGCAGAGGAGGGGAATGTCGAGCATGCGTTCATTCTTTACAATAAGTACATCACGTAAGTACAGCAAGAACAGGCTGAAAGTGCCAAATGCCTGGCAGGTCGGTTATTGATTGCACATATCAGATTCATTCTACTGTTCTCTCTCCTAATGTAAAAGGTGATTTCCAGTAGTACGGTACAAATTAGGTCCTGAAACTCTTGAAGTCAATATTTTTTTCTTTTTCAGGTATCGATAAGTGAAAAGAGGTGCTTAACCTTCATAAAATGTTGATCATCAGTGTCAGGAGGTCAAACTAAGTGTTGTATAAGCTGAGCTGTTTTATGTTCTATTTATTTTATGAGATTTGCAATTTTTGAAACCCTATTTAAAAAAAAATTAGGATGTGTAAATAGTTTAAAACTCAGATTTGAGCGATTTTGCTATTTACTGGAAACACATTTCTTCATATATTAGAAATAAACATTAAATACACATCAAAATTAAATAGATATTTTATTGTTATGAATATACGTATATATTCATAAAAAATATTATCTTTTTAATTCTAAAAATAGTTTTACATAATATTCTTCTTTTGCTTCCATTTATTGAAAAACGTGACATTTAAAACTTCCTAACATTTTAAAACCATGATTTGTGTGATTTTGTTATTTACTCAAATTACATTTCTTAATGTACTAGACATAAACATTTATTAAATATCAAAACTAAATATATAAAAAATATTATTAATAAAAATTGAAATAAGTTAATGGATTAATATTACATATTGTAATATATTATATAAATAATAAAGATTTATTAAAAAATTATATTATTTTAAAAAACAATATTTTGAAAATAATAAATAATGGTCCTGTGTTTTACTTCCTTTTAGGTTGTTCATTGAAAAACTTCCTAGACATCGTGAATATAAAACAGCCAATATTCCTGAGAAGAAAGAAACGATGAGGGTAAGATCGATGTGATTTGGGGAAAGTTAAGATGTTAAAAGCTTCATGATGAATTTCTCAAGCTAACGAATATCCCTTATTTTCCATGCTAGAAATTAAAGGAAGTTGCTTTTCCGAAAGCTGAGGAACTGAAAAAGCTGCTTCTCAAGCAGTACGAAAAAGAACATGCCGAATATTTTGTTCAAAAGGTGGGTTACATTTAGGGGCAGATTTTTCTTAAGTGCTACCTACAAACTAATCTAAGTAATGGTGTACGTGTTTATTGATGGGTGTGTGACTCCTGGCAGCAAGCGGAGGATGAGGCCCAGGCTCGAGAAGTGGCCAAGCAGCGGGATCTGGAGGCCGAGAGGCAGAGACAGGCCGAGCAGCAGCAGCGTATGCGTGAGCAGGAGCAGTTCAGTGCCTTTGAGGAGATGATCCGCAGACAGCAGCTGGAGAAGGAGCGCCAGCGCATCATGCAGGGGTTCAGTGTCCCGGAGTCACCCACCTCTCCCCGAGATCTCCTGGTGCCTGATGTACAAGGACCTCCACAGGCCTCATTTACACCACCGACGACCCCTGGAGGAACCCCGAACCATGTCTCTCAAACTTCACCCCTCCCAGCATTTGACCGCTCTCTGAAGCCGAGTGTTCCAGTCAGTGCAGGACACAGTGAGGCCTCTCAGTTTGCTCTTCCTTATGCATTGCTGACCTTGTGATACAAAAATTACTATTGTCATAAACTGTCATTAAGTTGAGATTATATGTTTTATTAGGTGCGTTGGTAAACGGCTTACGGCAGCTCTTTGTGCCCGCCGAGCTGTGCCAGAGGTTTTTAAAGCTAGCAGATGCCAACACAACACGGGCCGTGGAGACCTGTGGGATTCTCTGCGGCAAGCTGGTACGTGCAAAACATTTGCAGACACAAGCAGACTAACAAAATAATGTCTTTTTATTTGAGCTATCCATTTCGGTAAATCCCACTAAAACATGTATTTCAGCCAAAATCTAAAGAAAAAGGAGAAGAAAATAAAGACTATTTTTATGCCATTAATATGTTTTTATTCCCATAACAGTCAGCGAAGATTTTATTGTTATGAAAATAAAGAATTATATTTAGATTTTGCGTGAAGAAATTGAAGCCTATTTTTATGCCATTAAGATTTTTTTTTCATAACAATAAGCAGACCCCCCCAAATTCTCATTCACATAATGCTTCTGAACTGTTTATGTATTAAAATGGATATTTTTTAATACATTACTGTAATACCATAATTTTTAATGAACAACATAAATTAGAGATCATACAAAAAATATTGTCATAATGTATCAATAAATTACTATAATATTATTATTTAAGCACATCTTTATAAGCACATCTTTATTGTAATATAAATATTAAATAATTAAGGTGTATTTATGCATAATGGTAATATTTGTTATACGACTTTTAACTTCTTAGTTAATTTAAGTAAATTAATAATAAAACAATAAAATAAAATTGGGGCTGTTAAGATTTTTTAAATGTCACTTATGCTCACTAAGGCTGCATTTGTTTGATCAAAAATAAAGTAAAACAGTAGTATTGTGAAATATTAAATTATTATCGGCGCTCATGTTTTTGTAAAAACCATGTTAAAAAATTCCAGATTCTTTGATGAGTAAAAAGTTCAAAAGAAAAGCATTTATTTGAAATGAAATCTTTGTAACATTAAAATGGTCTCAACTGTAATTTTTGATCAATTTAATGCATTCTTGCTGAATAAAAGTATTATAAAAAAATCTTATTGAACACACATGTTTAAAACGGATGTGTACTGTGTATAAATCTCACTTAATATCTCTTGAATATAATTGGGGCAAATTACAACCTTATTAACATATCTGAGGAAATCTGTATTATGATGAGTAAATCACAAAACAGTTTGCTTGTCTTGGTCCACAGATGAAGAACGCCTTCACAGTGACACACGTGATCGTGCCCAAGCAGTGTGGAGGACCAGATTACTGTGACACAGAGAACGAGGAGGAACTTTTCCTAATCCAGGATCAGAATGATCTCATTACACTGGGCTGGATTCATGTATGAGGTTTTCTGTATAGACACATGACTAATCATTTTTTTAATAGTATCACTGTAATTATGTGTCTTGAGAATAATCAGTGTCTTTTTTTTCTATAAGACCCACCCGACCCAGACGGCCTTTTTATCCAGTGTGGACCTGCACACACATTGCTCTTATCAAATCATGCTTCCAGAGTCTATAGCCATTGTGTGCTCACCTAAATTCAATGAGTATGTTTTGAGCTATATGCTGTCTTACTTAGTTTGAGTGATAGTTAACAGGTATAACGGAACAATGACAGTCTGATAACTCCATGGTTCTCCAGGACGGGCTACTTCCGGCTGACAGACTACGGGATGGACGAGATCTGTTCCTGCAAACAAAGAGGATTCCACCCGCATCCAAGGGAGCCGCCCCTCTTCTCTGTGAGTAATACCTGATTAGTGATTAGAGAACCCTAAATATTAAACTTCAGTACATAAAGTAATGGCCTAAATTTTCAGCAAATTAAATTTGTTTGGCTATCCAAGATGTAGATGAGTTTGTTTCTTCATCAGAACAGATTTGGAGAAATGTAGCATTACATCACTTGCTCACCAATGGATCCTCTGCAGTGAATGGGTGCCGTCAGAATGAGAGTCCAAGCAGCTGATAAAAACTGATATCAGCTGCTTGGTCTCTCATTCTGACGGCACCCATTCATTACATATAATGCAAAATTTATCCAAATGTTACAATGAAGAAACAAACTGATCTACATCTTGGATGGCCTGAGGGTGAGTACATTTTCAGCAAATTTTCATTTTTGGGTGAACTACTTTTACTCCATGTGAATGATCTACTGTGTCCTTCAACCTTATGTGCACCATAATGAAGGTTTTGCGTCTGTGTCTTGTGCTCAGGCTAGTCAACACATCACCATCACTGACGGAAGTGTGAACGTGATGGATTTGCGGTGATTTCATCACTGCTGCTGCTGCGAAATACGTGCCTTTGCTCTTGACCTCACAGCGACTTGCCAAGAAGCTCCTAATAGGCCAAAAAGGTCCCGTGCTGAACATTGCTACATAGACACTGGGCCTCTATTATCACATCTTAGCATTCTATATTGGTTTAATTCTGTAATATCCAAATGTGTCCAGTAGGAGCTTAAAGTTGAGGTGTGTAGTTTGTAGCATTAGCAGCATCGAATGGATTTGTGAAAATGAAGAAAGTTGTGCCCTTAAGAAAGCATAATGGAAAAATAGTGATGCATGGCTTCTGTGAGCTTCCATTTGTTGAAACCAGGTAATTCTATTATTAACTAATTATGTTGCAGAAATTACACACTTCCCCTATGAACACCTATAAATATTTCAGTGTGCACTGCAAAAAAAGATTTTCCAATACAAGTATCTAAACATTTACTTGAGAAACAAAATTAATTAAGTCTCATTTTCTAACAAAAAATAGCAAAAGTAAGGGAGTTTATGCTTAAAACCTGAAAAATATAGAAAAATAAACGTAATTCAAAAGAAAAACAAGATTATTTTTCATACCCAATTGACAGATTTTTTTCTTGCTTCAAGCATAAATTAATTTGATTGTGATACATTTTTCAGAAATACATTTTTCATCTTAAATAATTTTCTTTCTCAAGTAATTGTCTTGATTTAAGAACATTTAGATATTTGTGAAGTGAAAAATGCTAAGAACATCTTTTTTGTGTGTTGTCTTTTGACATTCCATATTAGATATTCCAAACTAGAAAAGTTTCAGATCTTTATGTTGATTAAAAGATCCTCGTACGCCATTGCAACCAGTTTCAGACAGACTGGCTTTTGTATTTAGCTTAACACATGACAATGAAACCGCTGATTCTTTATGCCTGACCATGATTTTGTTAATCTCTTAATAGCTACTTTAATATGTATCAGACTGTTAACATAAAGGCAGATGATTATAGGGAGCAAAGACATATACATTTTCGTGTTTTATCAGCCAAACTATTCTCTGTTGTTTTCCATAACATTAAAATTGTTGTTAGACTTAATGCATTTTTTGTATGTAATTTTCTGTAGTCGTGAGCTTCATTTTTGGAGACTCTGAAGCTTTGCATCTTATCAAGACATAGTTAAATGCAAACATATCTTCACTTGAATATTATCTGTTAAGGCAAGACACTACAGGGAAAACCATTGTTTTTTTTGTTTTTTAAGGCCCTGGTCAATTTTGAGATTTTGGGCTATTTTGCTTCCATAACATGTCGTCTTTGAGACTAGTGGAAAGAAAATATCCAAAATACACATTTAAGGTTTATTACACTCTGTTATGTACGTTTATGCAAATATATGCATATTTAATTAGATAATGTTGCATTTACATATTTAGATATAAGATTTCAGAAACTTGTAATACAAAAGTATTGTCTTAAACTACTGTGATTAATCAACTGGGGACGTATGGTGATATCTATTAGTTTAAATGTGTCCCTTACTCACCTGTGGTGTCTTGTCTTAAGTTATATTAAAGGCTTTGAAAACTAGCATTCCTTTTATTGCACTTATGGACTGAAAATAAACAATACGTTTATTGCGTACCATATTCACTGAGGGGATGTGCTATTTAAGTGTTTACGTGTACTAGATTGAGCTTCATGTGTCACCAGTAAACAACACGCTTATCTGCATAAATTATTCTTGTCTTGATTTGCTAATGACACACATACTTCCGGTCACCATTTCTTCCAAAGAGTTTGGAGAAGATCATCCAGAGGGACTTTTTCCAAGATGTCTCCAAACTTCAAGCACAGAAGGATTATCTGGAGGTGGAGGAGAGCGGAGATCTGGAGCAGATGAGGGAGATTGCCATCAAATACGGGGTCTGCCATGGCTAAATACACCCCACGCATCTATGTGCCCTGTGAGTGACATTTCTTACTGTTCGGGATTAATTCTTAAAGGAATATTTAACCAAAAAAATGAACATTTACAATGGATCCTCTGCAGTGAATGGGGTGTTGTCAGAATGAGAGTTCAAACAGCTGATAAAAACCTCACAATAATCCTGAAAGGGACATATGAAGATGAATATATCGAGGTAAGACAGTCTTGTATACTATTTACAACAGGGGATTCCCTGGCATAATTAATTGTATTATACTTAATCATTCAATAATTTATTGTACTATATTATTTTAATGCCCATGTGTTTTGAAATGTGTTCTTTGAATACACTTGACTTTGGCTTTGGTTTTTTATTATTATTTTAAAAAAAGACGATGACCTTCAACACCAGTTTACACAAAATACCAAACCTCAGGCCGTTTTTCAACATACAGTGTGTTATACAGGAACAGCTGATTGAGCTTCATGTGTCACCAGTAAACAACACGCTTATCTGCATAAATTCTTCTTGTCTTGATTTGCTAATGACACACATACTTCCGGTCACCATTTCTTCCAAAGAGTTTGGAGAAGATCATCCAGAGGGACTTTTTCCAAGATGTCTCCAAACTTCAAGCACAGAAGGATTATCTGGAGGTGGAGGAGAGCGGAGATCTGGAGCAGATGAGGGAGATTGCCATCAAATACGGGGTCTGCCATGGCTAAATACACCCCACGCATCTATGTGCCCTGTGAGTGACATTTCTTACTGTTCGGGATTAATTCTTAAAGGAATATTTAACCAAAAAAATGAACATTTACAATGGATCCTCTGCAGTGAATGGGGTGTTGTCAGAATGAGAGTTCAAACAGCTGATAAAAACCTCACAATAATCCACAAGTAAGCCACACCACTCCAGTCCATCAGTTAATGCCTTGTGAAGTGAAAAGCTGCATTTTTGTAAGAGACAAATTCACCATTAACACATCTTTAACTTTAAACCATTGCTTCCATTTAAAGTCCCCCTGTAGTGAAAAATCTAGTTTTTTATGTTGTTTGTCTATATGGTGTTTTTAATATGCCTTTAGACGAACCATGTGCCAATCTATTAATCAACACCATTGCTGAGTATTTTCTCCTTAAAACTGTAGCTTCCCAAAGACTGACTCAGAAATACGGTCTGAAACAGCCCTCGGTTTGCTACGTCACACACCAATAACCAATCACGTCAAGGGATCGGTTCCTATCACTAGCATGCAAAATATACCAATACCAGCACAAAACCAAAAATAAATTAGACCAAAAAACCCATGAAGCTGTGAATTTAGAACCGCTAACTTGCATTATAACCCGTGGCAACAGTGTAAAAGTAGCTCGCGGGCGAGAATTAAGAATCACAAACGGCTGCATTCGAGTCTTCAAGGCATTTTAGGACACAACATCATCAAGTAAGTAACTTTAACGAATGTTACAGTATTCAATGTCGTTGTCCGCTAATAAAAACATAGTTTTATCAGTCATTATCCGTGTATGCCATTGTTTTGCGTTTACTACAGTTCAGTGGATCAGGAGGCGCTGGCTGGTGTGACTGAGTGGAGGCGGGGCTCATTTGCATATTCATAGATCAGCGTATAGTAAATGAGGCAAGGGTGTAGAGTTACATTCAAGCTATTTTAAGGCATGAGAAAATTATTTTCACAAGAAAAAACATTTAAATATGTCATTTTGATGATCAAAGATAAGTTTTAAGGGATAAAATATTTGACTACAGGGGGACTTTAAAATATGAATCCTTTATCCATAATTAGGGATGCACCGATATGAAAATTTTGGCCGATACCGATAACCGATTATTCTTTATTTTTGAAAGCCGATAACCGATATGTTGGCCGATAAATCTATATCCAAATTGTTATATACTTTTTGAGAGCCTGATTACAAAAAAGGTCTCATCATTAAAAGCCACATCCCAAACACTTCAACATAAGCAGCCTAGTTTGAACGGTGTACGTTTTAAAAATATTTTTACTCTCCCATTACCAAATTTAGTCATAAAAAAGTCTTACAAATAAATAAAATAATGCATAAATAATGCAAACAAGTCACTGGACATCATTACACGTGTAAAGAATCAAAATGAATGCGCCATAGATCAATAAAACGGAATAGCCTCTGCACGGACAATAATTAAATGATTTTAATTACTAAACCATATTGTTGATGAAAATAATAAGAGAAAAATACAAGTGGTTGTTGTTATTAATAATATATCAATGATTTTGAAAAAGTAACAAATTAATACCACTGTTTTAAATAGCAGCCATTGAGCTGCAGCTCAAGCTGAAGCTGAAGAGCTGAATGAACACGGTAAACTGAAGCGTTTTGCTGGCAGCTTATTTAACTCAAGGAAATGCATCCTGAGATTAATATTAATACAACATAAACATAATATTACAACTTATATATGAAATGACAAATGACGCAGTTATTGCATGCTATAGTCAGGGGGGATCCCTTCAGCTCGAGGAGCCCTCTCGAACACCACCCTCCACAGATCGGTAGCCCCCCAGGATAGCGCTGTTTAATGTGGAGTGACAGATCGCTGTAGCACCTCAGTTCAACAGACGCAGGAGCACGAGGCGCACGTGAACTGCTCATCTCCTCCACATTAATACCCGTTTCAGCACAAAATAATGCTCCAGGAAAACGTGTTGTCAGTGTTGGTCACAGCGCCTTTTAATTGCTGTTTTGAATCCAGCAATTATTTATTTACAAATTATAAACTCTGATTATGACAAGTGTGGTATAAAAGCTTTGTTTATTAGAGGAATACTTGGTTAGCTGGAAAATCTTACATCGTGACCATGCTTTTGGATCCTGTTTGAGCCCATATAAGCCTACATTTATGCGGCTTTGTTCTTGGTCACGAATTTCCACAAATTCAATAATATTTAGGCATTGTTTCTTTTCCTAAATCCTCACCGTCTAACCCTCTAATTTCGCAGGTTTATTTAATTGTCATTCACTTTTTATTAGGGATGCACCGATATGAAAATTTTGGCCGATACCGATAATCGATTATTCTTTATTTTTGAAAGCCGATAACCGATATGTTGGCCGATAAATCTATATCCAAATTGTTATATACTTTTTGAGAGCCTGATTACAAAAAAGGTCTCATCATTAAAAGCCACATCCCAAACACTTCAACATAAGCAGCCTAGTTTGAACGGTGTACGTTTTAAAAATATTTTTACTCTCCCATTACCAAATTTAGTCATAAAAAAAGTCTTACAAATAAATGAAATTATGCATAAATAATGCAAACAAGTCACTGGACATCATTACACTTGTAAAGAATCAAAATGAATGCGCCACAGATCAATAAAATGGAATAGCCTCTGCACGGACAATAATTAAATTATTTTAATTACTAAACCATATTGTTGATGAAAATAATAAGAGAAAAATACAAGTGGTTGTTGTTATTAATAATATATCAATGATTTTGAAAAAGTAACAAATTAATACCACTGTTTTAAATAGCAGCCGTTGAGCTGCGCGTGCTGAAGCTGAAGAGCTGAATGAACATGGTAAACTGAAGCGTTTTGCTGGCAGCTTATTTAACTCAAGGAAATGCATCCTGAGATTAATATTAATACAACATAAACATAATATTACAACTTATATATGTACAAAATGACGCAGTTATTGCATGCTATTGTCAGAATGTGTGATCCTGTTGTGGATGCGCTCTTCCCATAACAACGCGCTGAAACACGGCAACTAAACCCAAAGAATTCACAACGTTTTATTATAATAATGTTCTCATTAGAATGTTATATACACGACATTCCCAATCATAGTTATTAATGTTGTGCACTGCTGTTTGAGCTGCGTGTGCTGAGCTAAAGATGATCACCGGTAAACTGAAGCGCTCTTTTAACTTAACCAAACGCATTCTATATGAGATAAATCAGATATACATCAAATAAACACAATATTACAATGTACAATTGCACAAAAGGCTGCAAACGAACAGCGCGCATCTGAAGTGTCTCTGAAGGAAATAATGCATTATTTATCGGCTTTAAGATATCGGCCAAATTTTCTTATCAGGCCGATACCGATAACAGAAAAAATGAGCCGATATGGGCCGATACCGATATGGTGGCCGATATATCGTGCATCCCTATCCATAATATTGCTTTCTCCAGTGGAAAAGTTGTCTTGTCTGAATCAGTATAGACATATGCACATACCAAACACCGTTCACAAGCTAAATCAGCCAAAAACCGTTCTAAACAAATATATCGGTGGATTTTGATGTGAGAGGACAACGGGATGGACTTTTTCACTGGAGGAAGCGTTATTATGGATTATGGACTGATATTTTGGCCAGAAGAAACAGTTTAAAGTTAAAACGACTTAATAATGGATTTATTACAAACACAGTTTTTTGCTTTACAGGATGTTAACTGATGGACTGGAGTGGTGTGGATTACTTGTGGATCATTGTGATGTTTTTATCAGCTGTTTGGACTCTCATTCTGACGGCACCCATTCACTGCAGAGGATCCATTGGTGAGCGAGTGATGTAATGCTAAATTTCTCCAAATCTGTTCTGATGAAGAAACAAACTCATCTACATCTTGGATGGCCTGAGAGTGGGTACATTTTCAGGAAATTTTCATTTTTGGGTGAACTATTCCTTTAATGATAACCACCTACTGTGTTTTGCACATCAGTGATTTACTGCTGGCACATTGGAAAACTGTTTTGTGTTTTTGTTTTTTAAATCATTTTGTTCCCATTTAGACACGACTCCTTCAACATTTGAGACCCCAGATGGTGGAAGTGCATCTCCCTCATGTTCACAGAGCAAACACAGAGCAACGAAAGAGGATGGTATGTGACTGCTGCTAAATTTTTCTAGTCACCATAAAAACTAATTTGATCAATTAAAGTGACAGTTGTTCTCTATTATTGTATTATTGAAATGTTATGTTTAAATATGCAAACAAGGCACTAATTAAATCTAATTAAATATGCACAAATTAGCTTTCTTAGTTTTTCAGTTCTTTACAGAGGGGATTTTGGATCTTTGAATCTCATTTTTGGAGTTTTAAAGATAAATGCAACATGCTACACATGTTCTTTGTTATGTTTCAGGAAAAGAAGGTGAAAAAGCAGAGGAAAAGGATCTTCCATCTCTGGACCGCTTTCTTGCTAAAAGCACGAGTGAGGACAATGCATCCTTTGAGCAGATAATGGAGCTTGTGGAGGACAAGGACAAGCTGAGGCATGCGTGGCTTTATGAGGCAGAAAATGAATATAATGAGGTACAGCACAATAATAGCTACTGCATATCATTGCGTTTTGCATTGTTGGGTCTTGTTTTGAGTTCTGACGATGTTTATTGTTCTATCATTTAAAGAGGCATGAGCAGAACCTCGCTTTACCATCCACAGAGAAACAGGCGCTTGAGTGCACCAAGACAGGAGTGGAAACATGGCAGTACAAGGCCAAAAATGCAGTCATGTACTACCCTGAAGGTAAGGTTTCCCATTGAGGATCCCCATCTGTTTAATATTGCATGACACTTTCTGAGGCTTGTAAAAAACTATTAATAACTTGATTATGAGTCTGATGATATATATCATTGAGTTCATAGCCAAAGAGCCATACGGTAAATTGCATGTTTATTTTGTTCCCCAAAAGGTGAAAAAGACGACACGCTGTTCAAGATGCCACGGGAGGTCCTGTACAAGAACACACGGTTTAATGTTGATCCCTTCTGAACTGCGCTCAATCCACAGGTAACACTGACTTCTGCATCTCATTTGTCAGCATCAGATCATAAACCACTTTGATGAAACTAAATGCATATTTCTCTCCTCTGCCTTCTGTCTAGTTTAAACAAGGTAAGGTTGGTCCAGATGGCAAAGAGCTCCTGCCTCACGAATCCCCCAAAGTAAATGGTTATGGATTTGAGGGAGAAGCCTCCCCTGCTCCTGGTGAGTGCCACTGTTTTGGATTAAAAAAATGTATTATACAATTTATATTGGTGTGCAAAATAATCTAAAGTATTTAAAGAAAAGTTTTAACATTGAAATCTTAAGAAACAGTCGAGAAGAACAAAGTTTTTGAGCACTTATATACAAGTACTTGTGTCATATTTTCCTAAATGGCTTGTTTGTTTTTAAGGTGTTGCAGAGTCTCCTCTGATGACGTGGTCTGAGATCGAAAGCACTCCGTTTCGTCTGGACGGCTCAGACACACGAGAGGGGCGGGGAACGGAGCGAGGCCGGTGGAGTAAATGCTAATGCGCGACACCTGCGCCACTCACCGGTCTCGAGTCCCACGGAGGAGCTCCGGAAGGATAAAAGGAAGAGTGACGACAGTGTTGGACGAGAGAGGACCAGGCCTCTCATTATCGGCATATTTTGACAGCGCATGGGACTTTGCTGAGAAAGTCAGCACCTGAATACACAAGTTTCAGTATTTACATCCTTTTTTTATATTTTAAACAATTTCTTTATTTGCGAGAATATCGGTCGACCACTGCTTCAGACTTTTGAAGTAGTCTGTGTTTTTACAATAAAAGAGTGTTTCAGGTTTCAGTGGAGGACAGAAAACTCTAATCTCTATAACTTAAAGAAACTTTGGTTTACACATGAAAACCAAAAGATACCCTTTTTGATGTAGTTTTCAAAGTGATATTCAAAACTGCATTTATGTTGTGTACTAAATTATTATTTATATGTATTGCAGCCTTACTCCGCAGGGACTGAGTCCCGCAGTGCTGTCTCCTGCCCTTCAGCGTCTAGTAAACAGATCGTCCAGCAAATACACAGATAAAGCCCTAAGAGCAAGCTACACCCCGTCACCTGCGCACAGGATCATGGGCTCTAAGACTCCGCTCGGAGGCCCAGCCACTCCCTCCATCACACCAACACCTGGGAAAGCCAGAACACCGGCCACACAGGACCCGGCCTCCATCACAGAAAACCTCCTCCAGCTGCCCAAGAGGAGGAAAGCCTCAGATTACTTCTGAAACAAAAGACTGAACAAAAACTCTAACGTGGTCACATATTTATTTTTTAATTTTTTTTACTAATTGTTTTTAAACTGTGAAACTGAATTAATCATCAGGTTTCTTGGACTTCATTCTATAAGGAAGAAAATGTCTACAACTTAAAACATCTACAGTTTGTAAGAATTTAGTTTAACATTTTTATTTTAGCTAGCATATATGTACTTTTTCAGCATCATCCACATCAACTGATTCAATCAGGTGAATCATTTGTTCTATTTGGTTCTTTATTACTCTTGATTTGTTTTGAACAAAGCTGGTTCAGTCTTCCTGAAGTCTGAACATCTTTTATGATGTTGAAGACATCTTGCAAGATCTCAAGGGCACAATAAAGAGTTCTACAGATTTGTGTGTATTATTTCACCATCCATATTTTACAAGATTCATTTGTTGAATCCATCTTTGGGTTGGAGGCTGGACTCATACAACAAAGACTCCCTTAGTGAATTTACTCTTAGCAAAATCTATGATTGCAGTGTTCGACAGAAGAAAGAAAATCATGTATTTTTTTGGCATTAAGACTGGACTCACATATGATGCTGGTACAGACTGAATTATTTTCTCAAAACTAAGGTTGATCACCATATTGTGTAATATCTGTTTTTCAGTCACGTTGTAATCCATGTTGGCCGGTAACAACACAAATGTGTTTCATAATTGTTTTACTGTTTAAGTTTAGAGAAAAAACCCATAATTGACTATTTAATCAAGGTTCCCACTGTGACAATTTGACATAGTGTGTGACAACAAGCTTTGCTCAATTTGTGTAAATGAATCGAATAGCTTGTTGCAAGACATTACACTAGTGAAAAAATGGTGTAGGATTTACTTTGAAACAATTTTCACTTAGAAATTGCTAGTAAAATTCACAAATATTTACAAAGTGGAACACATTGAATTAATAAACATGAAATTAAGTACTATTTTCTCGTTAAAAAAAACTACTTATTTACAACTTTGAAAAATCTAGTGGCTAAACTTTGTTTCATTTGTATCTATAAGTCTGTGGTTGGTCATTTTTAAAGTATTTTGAAAGAAGTCTCTTCAAGGCTGCATTTATTTAATCAAAAATACAACAAAAATAGTAATATTGTGCTGATTTGGTGCTCAAGAAGCATTTCTATTATCAATGTTGAAAACAGTTGTGCTGGTTACTTTAGTTGTTTTGAAAAAATATTGATATTTTGATATTGTAATCTATTAATATTGTTTTTTTTTCAGGATTCTTTGATTAATAGAAAGTTCAAAACAGCATATGTTTTGAAATAGAACAGAAATGCAATGTCTTTACCGTCACTTTTGACCAATTTAATGCAAAATAAATATTAATTTCCTTTAAAAAATTACTGGCCCCAAACTTTTGAACAGTAGTGTTAAATATATTAATATATATTCATTTAAACAATCATGTGACTGGCTGCAAAACAAACGCGCTCAAAACGCTTTAGAAATATTCCATAAAACATCCGTGTGAACAGTGAGACATGCTGAGTGCATGTGTTATTATGAGGGCTTGATTAAGCGCCTCCTCCTCCAGTCTGTGGGCTGGAGAATAGACTTGCTTGGGATTGTTTTGATGGGACGGTGGCGGAGCCATCTTGTTTTATATCCGTGCTAAGCCCGTATACCGAGCCAGAAGAAGCAGCCCTGGAATATGACACTACATTCCGACCCTAGCCAGCAGAAATAAACACATCCGAGTGTCGAAGCGTATTTCTGATCGACGGAGTACACGCAGAAAGCGGAATCGGCTGTTCGTTGCGATTTATTTCTCAACATCGGCGGCTGGTGCTTTAACTGCATTTTCTCTCGCACATTTTCTCCGGTGTAAGATACTATGAATGGAGGATAAATGTGGCCGAAGGCTGACAGCGGTGGTTTTGTGCTTCTCCTCTTCATTCTGACAGTAACAGATCCGTCACGGACAGGTAACGGTGTTGCTTTAATCAGCGCTTGTGTTTGCTGCAGTCTGGGCTGGTGAAGGCTTGCAGCTCTGCTTATTTTCGGTCATGAGGGGGATGAACAGGCGCTGAGCTGCATGCAGAGGCTCTTTCGCAGGCCGTCAGGGCCTTTAACTACCACTGTGTTATCATTTATTATTGTGCATTATGTCTGAAGTTTTACGCCTTTTTAGTGCATTCCATATGGCAAGCTGCATTAACATTTAATCCTGAAAGCTACGTAATATCTATTTATGTTACTAGATTTAAGCCTTTTATATTATATACCATGTGGCAAGCTGGTTAACATTTATTCCTTAACTGCATAATATATGTTTGTTATTCATTACTTATTTTTTCCTTTGCTTCGAGATATTATACCAATCTATTCCATTGTTACTTGTATCAAATTACAAATCTGTGGTGAACCCAATTATTTACTTTCAACTAGTTATAGCTGGTACCTGTTCCAGTTTTACAAGTCCTGGTACTTTATGGATATATGTCCCAGTGGTGCACAACAGAAGAAAAAAAATCCCATTACTTTTCTCAATAGGGAAATTTATTTTTAACAATATCTTAACCTTAACAAACCCACTGATTTGTTAACTGATGGAATATGCTTTTGTTCAAGCCATCAACCCACATTATTTCAACTTGTTTTTAAAATAAGTTTAACGGAGTAGAAAAACTACATTTTCCATGATACTGCAAAGAAATCTGCACCAATGAGAGAAACAATGGCGGCTAAAGAACTGCCTATATATATATATATATATATATCTCAGTATCTTTGTCAAAAGTTTTTGATTTATCCATTTGATTGTCATTTGCAATGCTTAAAGCTGTTAAGCTGTCTTGTAACGTTCTTTTTGCTTCAAATCAATTTTGTGATTCACCTTGTAGCTTGTTGGTTTGGTTCGTCATGGCTTATAAATAACAAAACTTTTTTTTTTAATTGCTATGGAAAAATTGAATGGGAAAAATACTTCTGGAACCAACACTGCTATACACACCATACAGCAGCCATTCTGACATATGATAAAAAAAAATTAGTAGAATAAGAAGCGTTATTAGTAACATTAGATACTAGGGTCTCAGAAATGGGTTCTAATATCTAATAAGGGTGTTTACACATCAACACTGCTATACACACCATACAGCAGCCATTCTGACATATGATAAAAAAAAATTAGTAGAATAAGAAGCGTTATTAGTAACATTAGCTACTAGGGTCTCAGAAATGGGTTCTAATATCTAATAAGGGTGTTTACACGATTTTTTTTTAAAAACTGAAAAGTTTTCCCTACGCGTACAGACCACAACCTTGTCGAAACAATCCCCATTTAGACAGATCCACAAAAACACCTAAAAATGCACGGAGTTTGTAACAGTATCATGTTCAAAAAAGGTGCACTTTGAAACCTGTTTTCAAAAGTTTGCATTTTCAGGCCCTCAAAACCATTGTAAAATATTTCAGGTTTTACTATCCAACATTGGGAAAACCTGGACCACACACACACATGGGCATAAGTAATTGATTAAATGTTTATTAAATGTAAAAAAAAATATATATATATATATATATTTACTAGTAATAATGATACTGTATATGTAATCAATAAATGATATATACATTATTTATTATATTTCATTATATTATTGTTTTTATTTAATATAATGTATAATATAAATGTAATTATTCCAAGAAATACATCATTTTATTCTTGTTTAATGAATTGTTAGTTTTGGTATGTTTTATTATTAATTTGATTGTTATTTTATACACATGTAAACGAATATAACTGAATTATATATATATATATATACTTTAATAAAATGTATAATATTAATGTAATAAATTATAATTGGATGTATTTTGTAATAATAATGCTTTCTTGAAGCAAGATATTATTTCACATTTTTAGGGCCTTTGCAAGATCACGTTTGAACAAAATAAATGCATTAGAGCTTTCTGGACACTTACATTGACTTTTGTTTGCAAATGTAGATGTATCTGTGCTATCTATTGTTATTTATACCCTGCTAACCAGGAGACAGATTGTCCCTTGAGCCTTTCAGAGATTAGGTAATGTTATATTGCTGAAGTCACTAAATCTGCCTCTCCCCCCGCAGGTCCACGGCTCGCTCTGGCCAGACTGTTGCCAGGTAAGCTGCGATCCTTGGAATTCTTACAAATGATCTTGAGCTTTACCAGCCACTTTGACCCTGTTTGAGTCTTATTTGGCTAAGCCTGACATTGACACTGATGTCCCTAGATGCCGTTGAATGGCTGTTAATCTAAATTCTGAGACTTTTCCTGTTGCGTAATAAATCATGTTCAATTCTAATCACAGGTAATGGGTGTCTCTGTTGCAGGTTGTCTCTTTCTAGATTAGTTTCACTCAGTGTATTGTCTGTGTTTCAGATCAGCGCTGCAGTCCTGGCCAGTTTACCTGCCGGAGCGGAAAAATGCAGTGCATCCCTCTGTCCTGGCAGTGCGATGGATGGACGGCCTGTGAGGACAAAAGCGATGAGATAGATTGCCCTAGTAAGTTTTCACACACACACACAGCCACATTCTTGTGCAATGCACTTTAAAAACACGCTCGTGCTTACGTCCACATGAGGAATGCTTTCATTTCCGCTTATTGGGTTTTGTCTTGTCATTTTGCCAGTGCTTGACACCCTGGATTTTGTGTGCTGTCGTTTCTGTGTCTTAACCCTGGAGTGAGACACGGTGCTCCGAGTCTGATTCCTGGATGGGATAACAGAAATTACAGAGCGGATTACTGAGCATGTGATCTGTGTCTCGTAGCTCCTTCAAGCACTGCTGATCAGAATCACACCCCGAGCACATGAATGCAAGAGAAAATAACCCACTGACGCTGAGGATTATTGGCTTTGTTTTGGTGGTGTTGCCAGATAAATGTAGACCTGTAGTCTGGGATATTTTAGGTTTTTTGAGGTGATGATGTGATTGTTTGAATCTTGCCGGTTTTTATCAACTGATTGATCTTCATATCTCTTCCTTTGATTTATGATGTGTTTAGCCGTCTTCAGTGACACTTTCAGTAGCAGGAGATAAAATAAGTCCATTTCGGCAAGGTGCCGTTTCATATTTCTTATACTTTGTCCAATGGGACTTATATGTTGAATGTGTGATATGTTGAATATTCACAATATATTTGTTCATAGGGAATTTGCTGGTGATAGACTTTTTTTTTATTGTTTATTACATGTTTATTTATTTATTTTTATAGTTTTTGTATTTTATTAGTTCTTGTTATTGTTGTGTGTTTTTTTTTACTGTATTTTAGCTCTTGCATTAAATGTTATGGAGCAATTTGCCAACACTGACTGTTTGTTAAAGATGCCATTTCTTCTGACTGAAAAAATATCACATTTTAAGCCATTTCAGAGCAAATGCATAAATATCAGGATTAAATATCATCAAAAGTCTAAAAAATAACTGCTGTCTGCTGAACTCTTGTCTAACCC